ATCAGATTTCCAGCCATGCCCTTTTAACTGAAATGCCATTAAAAGCTTTGTTTGAAACCCCTTTTAATTTTAAAACACTCGCTCAACTCTTAACAATCCAAGGTTTATTTCCTTTTATAATCTTTCGAATTAGCATGTAATTGACACGACCACTTTAAGTAATTCTTGGTTGTCAAAATTCATATGCATTCTTGGTTTTCAAAGTCTACTTACTATATTATCTCATTAACCAGGTATCCAGGGTAGAACTTATGGATGAGGTTCAAGTAAAGGCAATAAATATTGCTAATGGATCAAATTTGCCTGAAACACCTACTTTATTGTTTGAATTTGTTGGAACAGGTTAATTGTTCTCTCTCTTCATGGTCTGGGTTCTGATATTTGTTTTGAGTTTTCATGTAATAATTGTAGACTGTAGTAATGTTCATTATTAGCTCAAAATATGACACTCATATTAGGAGAAATTGCTCCCATTAATCTGAACTTTGCCTCGTCTGCCCATATTAATCCGAACTTTCGATTATTATCTATCACTCCCAACTTTAGGGGGTATTAATTTTTATTGCACCCAAATGATTTGCAACCGGTAAATCAGGTAAACATTTGTGAATTTTTTTTTTGCACACGTGTCAATATGTAATTGGTTGAGAAAAATAGAGAAGAAAAAAAAACTTAAAACTAACCCAGCAGCTGCCCCACCACACGAACACCACCGATGCCCACCAAATCACCACCACCTATGCCCGAAAATGGTTGATTTCGGCCGCAAATGGCCGAAAATGGCCGAAAATGGGGCTGAATACCCTAAACCAGTCGATTTCAGCCGTTTGTGGCCGAAATCGTGGCTGAATGTCGTCGATATTATGGCTGAATGTCGCCGATTTCGGCCATTTGTGGCCAATTTTGTGGCCGATTTCGTGGCTGGGCTGCTGGGGAGGGGTTTTCGAGGGTGGATGGGCTGCTGGGGAGGGGTTTTCGAGGGGGAGGAAGGGTTTTCGCAGGTGTCTGGCTGCTGGGGAGGGGTTTTCGGGGGTGGGGGAAGGGAAGGGGTGGCTGGGCGGCGGTTTCCGGCAGCAGGGGAGGGGTTTTCAGGGGTGGGGGCGAATTTCCGATTGAATCTCATTCGAGCCCAACAGCTTATGAAGATCAATGCCTATAAGCATCAGCGGGATGAACAATTCGCGGTGGGGGAGGAGGTGTTCCTCAAAATCCGCCCTTACCGTCAGAGGTCCCTCGCTAAACGGCCGTTCGAAAAGCTAGCAGCCTGTTTCTATGGGCCGTTCAAGGTTCTCCAGCGCATAGGCGAGGTGGCGTACAAACTGGACCTTCCCAGTTCGTGCAAAATCCATCCCACCTTCCACGTCTCGCAACTAAAACGAGCGGTGGGTGGGGGTACTTATCAGTCAAACCATTCCGGCACAACTCACGGCAGACTTGGAATTGGTAGTCAAACCCGAAAAGGTGTTAGATGTTCGAAAGCGCAGGGGTGGTCACAAGGTGGTCCTAGAGGTCCTTATTCAATGGTTGGGTCTGCCCGAGTTCGAAGCCACATGGGAAGATTACCCGTCCATGGTCGATCGTTTTCCGTCCTTCCACCTTGAGGACAAGGTGAAGCTTTGGGGGGGGGGGGGAGTATTGTGATGGACCAAGGTCAACCACCGTTGGTGTACACGAGGCGCGAGAAACGGCAGCAGCAACAGCCTAGGGAAGGCATTTCTTTGCAACATGACAAAAGCAATTAAGAGAAGAAGAAAGAAGCAGGGCAAGCTACTTTAGTTATGTTTATTGTTGGTCTTTCCATTTTAGTAAATTAGTCACATGTATTCTTCCTAAGGTCAAGTATTGACCATTAGTATAAGAATGGTAGAATTAGGCAGTAAGAGTTTCATCCAGAAACTTGTAAGGCAATCTCAAGAGAGTGGCTACCTAAAGTGGCTTAGAGACTTGTAGCCTCAAGCTACTAATTATCCTTTGTAAGCTTGGTTAATCATATGAGAAATCTTCCCTTCTTCCGTTAATTGAATCACTTAGTACAATTATATTACAACCGAAATTCAGTCTATTACATATTATACTTCATTTGTTTTTTGTTTGCAATTTTGCAATGTAGGGGGATGGGGGGAGGGGTTGCACATAAATTAAGGAGACAAGACAAATGGAGAGAGGTAGGAAAAGGGATCCATGTGATACATAGGAAGATATACTTTTAACCAAACAAACTAATATTGCAATTATTTAGCAACTTCTCACAAAAGAATCTGTTGTGATTAAAAGAGGACAGAGGTTGTAAAATTTACTACAGAGTGCTTTGTTTTGTTTTTTTGTTTTTACTGAAAAGGAAAACCAAATTGTCAGGTAACTATATAGGCATGCGTTTGAGCGGATTTAATGACCTGGAGGAAATGAATATTTAAAGCTTTCTGAATTCTGATCCTGATTCTATGTATGTCTGTGTTTGAGCAGATTTAATGACCTGAATGAAATGAAAATTTAAAGCTTTAATAATGAATTTGTTCAACTATGCTATTTCTGATATAGATTTTGTATAAAGCAACCATGGTGCTTGCCTGATAGAGGTCACTTGCAATACATTGCTCATAAAGTCCAAGACTGGGGGCAGGTTGTTCTGAAGGATATAAATGTGTGTGTCTGTGTTGGTGTCCATGCTTGGGTTTCTGATTGAGATATCAGGAGGGCTATATGTTGTTTTGTTTTCCTGAAAGCCATATAATTGTTTGCTGGTGATTTTTGTTGGCGGGCAAGAGGTAGGATGGGGGTAGGACATAAGAAAACATCAAGGTTTAATGCTTGCTCGTATTATGTCAATGAATCTATTTTAAGTTACAGATTGCATTTATCTGTTGCTGAATGATAATATTATGTCTCTTCCTCTTTTTGCAGAAGCATATTCACGTGAACAGACAAGACTGGTCCAGAAGATCGCTTCTGAGCATAATGGTTCGGATTTTATTTTTGCAGAAGAACCTGAAGCTAAAAAGGAGCTCTGGAAGGTAATTTGGCTATTTGACTTCTCATATCTATCTATCTATGGTGAAGAGAACAGGGCCTTAGTAAGCTTTGGAATTGGTTTGTATTTCCATGAATGTTATTCTTCTTTCCCCTCCCCCAAAGTGGAAAAAAGGAAGATGATTAGATGAGTGGAGACATGAAGAGAAACTAATGAGAAGAAAAAAATAAATAAATAAAGGTGACAACATAAACCTTTTTTGCTCTGCATTATTATGCAGATGAGGAAGGAAGCTCTCTGGGCGTGTTTTGCAATGGAACCTGAATATGAAGCAATGATTTCGGTCAGTTGATTATTTCTTTCCAGTTTCACCTGGTTTTTTTTTTTTTTTTTTTTTTTTTTTTTTTTGTCCTGCGTGTGTTGGGTGGCCATTTTTGGAGGACTTTGTCATTTTGCAGCTCAAGTACTGTTTATATCCCCTAATCCCATTAATATAGAAAATTTAGAAATGAGAACTTCTTTTCCACCTTTATTGTCTATGAATCATTGTATCCTCTTGTTGTGTTATGTGTTATGAGGTTAGCCAATGTTGATATTAGTAGACTGTTAAATGATTTTTGAACTCTTATTTACATTTATATCTTTAATCTATTCTTGTTGCACACTTTATATATTGAAGCAGCATTTTCCAGTAGCTACTTCAATGTGCTGGATTGTTTAATTAAAGCTTTCATCTTAGTCATGAACTTTGTCCTACCAGGATGTTTGTGTGCCTTTGTCGCAACTTGCTGAGCTAATATCAAAGTCAAAAGAGGTCCTGGATGCATCTCCATTAATCTGGTAAATGTTTTTTTCCCCACTAGCTTTCTGCATGCTTAGAATGCGGTAACTTTGAGATGAACTGCCAAATTTCTGTTATTTTTTTCTTTGTTCTTTTAAATATTATTATGGGCAATGAAAACAGTGCAGTGGTTGCCCATGCTGGTGATGGGAACTTTCATACCTTGATCTTATTTGATCCTAACAACGAAGAGCACAGAAAAGAAGCTGAAAGGCTAAATCATTTCATGGTCCAGGCAGCCTTGTCAATGGAAGGTATCCTTCTGAGTATTGATGACGCTTTACAAGTTAGACCCTTATGGCCAACATTCTGAGAATTCCCAAAACAACCCCCCCCCCCCCTTTTCTTTTTCCCGGCTTCCTCTTTGATCATCAAATTTCTTTTGGAGGTTCAATGACTAGCGTCAAATCCTATTGTTTCTAGTGTAATATGTTAATTATGCTGGTTCTTTCAATTGGGCAGGAACATGTACTGGAGAACATGGAGTTGGTACTGGTAAAATGAAGGTATTGCACTGAATTCTTTTGATTTAGTTTAGTCTAGTATAATTTGTAAAAATATGATTTCTATGCGCTTGCTAATCATTTTGTCCAAGCTAGAATGTAGATTTTAAATCACCATGTATTTATTGACCGGATTCCCTGAATAGTATTATTGTCTTTTGACTTCTCATTCATTCTTGCGAGACGAACTTTTCAAAACCTTCTAGATTTACTTGCTAGATTGTTATAAGAATGCAGTGTTTGATGTCCATTATTTTATCTGTATTTTCCTTTCTCTGTTTCAGTACCTGGAACAAGAGCTGGGGATAGAAAATTTGAGGACAATGAAAAGCATAAAAGCAGCTCTGGATCCCAACAATATTATGAATCCTGGAAAGCTGATCCCTCCTCATGTCTGTTTCTAAAATCGCGTTTTGGCACAACCTCGGCCCCTACCAATAAATTGGTGTAGGTGACCATCATTATAGTTTGTCTACAGCCAATGTTTGCTGTACTATTGTAAACTTTGGAGTTCATGTTACCATTCAGTACTGACATCTTCTTCAAATCTTTGGTGTTGAGACTTTTTTGAATTTCAATAACTACTTAGAACGAAATAGAGCTCAATCTAAAGTTTTGTAAACCAAAGTTACTACCCAATTAATAGGTATACTATCATGCGCAAAAAGTTATAATCACTCTATTATAATCAAAGAATGCCACATTTTTTTTGATCCGTATATCTTCATCAACTATCTTCAAATGTTCACCAGAAGGATGACAATCATAGTTCTAGTATGTAATTTGGTGTTTAACATATTTATCTACACAAGCACGAAACATAGTAAAGAAAAAAGGGGTGGGGGGATGGGGCGCGAAAGAAACTTAATACTCCGAAGAAATTGCAAACGTATAGGGGTGAAAATTATTTAGCAGAGTAGGGTTATTTTCCTGCAAAGATGAATCGTTTGATGAGTTGAGAAAGTTGGTTAGAGACAGGGGAGCAAGGATTATGTGTGAGAAAACCATGGTGTTGGCCTTCAAATTCAACATAAGTAATGTCTTTGCCAAGCTCCTTTAACCTCTTTGCATAGTCCTCCACTCTATCTTTCATGATCTCTTTGCCACCCACTATAACAAGCATTGGATCAAGGTATACCAATTCTAGATTTGGACTAGATGGTCCAAATGGGTTTGCTATTGGATGATCTCTATCTTCTCCTTTAGGTAGAGATAGTCTCCAAAACCTAAAAAGGGAATGAAAAAAAAAATGTTTAGTTCTTTTGGCGTTTTAGGTTTAAACGCATAACTTTTAAAAATTTAAAATACAAATACATATAGGATAATGTTTCAGATGAGGGTGGATTTTTAAAATAATAAAAATAAAAAATTACTCTTTTTAGATTTTTTTTAAAGACAAATTACTCTTTTTAGAAATTAACTAGTTTTTGGCCTCAGGCGATGTCCCGAATTACTACATTAATTTCATGATTAATATCCTTAATTATATTTAATTTTAATAAAATAACATATGATATGGTATACTTTAGTGGTAGGCAATATAATTTTAATAAAATGAAATACTTGAAGAAGATGCCACGTGACACGTAAATTTAATTAGGAACGCCTTTAAATATATAGTATAGATTGTTATATTGTCTCAATTCCTCGATATTTGAAAATGATATTTTGATACTCTCCTTCACCAATATTTTTGGTAACATTTCCAAAAAAAAAAGAGGTAACTAGGTAAAATTCATCAAATGTCAAATAATCCTAGGCCACCGCCCACCGGATCCACATCCATCATTGAAAGAGATAAATTACTAACATTTTTGCTTATAAAATGATAATATGATTAAAATGATTTATATTGCTTTATTCTCCAATGAGGATCAAACAGGTTATGGACATTATTTAATTTTATTTATTATTTATTTTTTGGAAAGATTAAGGACATTATGTATTGAGAGTTGATTTGCCAAATGATCTACTAGTATTTATTTGTCATCACATGCAAAAAGCCTAAGCGTTAGCCAATGAATCAATTTACATACTAAACCAATTATTTCTGCTTTTTGTGACATTATGAATCAGCAAATCATGAGATTATCAACCTAAGATGATGTTTGCAACTAATTTGTTGAAACAAGTATGTCTTGTACTGCTCAAGGATTTCATCGGCCCATAACAGATACGACTCCACTATCTAATTTTGGCAACTCATACTATTACGGTATTGTCTATAATCTAATAAATACTTTGGTGTTTTTTTTAGCGTTGTTATCGTAATCATTACTCCTCCGTATCTGCAAATAAAATTTACTTGTATTAAAGCTAAGGTGTTTGGTAAAAAGTTATATGAGATAGAAATTAGCTTATTTCATCAATATTAGTTGATTGATGATCATGAAATAAGCTAATTGGAGTGTTTGGTGGTGAGCCTATCCCGCCAAATAAGCTCAATAATTTTATAAAGTTCTTGGTAAATAGTTAGCTGATTGGCATGATACGTGATTGCTTAAGATATTTGAGTATGCAAAATGACTAAGGCGTTGTTTAGTTCAAGTTATTTTTACGTGTTTTAGAAAAAATAAATTAAGTTCATATTAGATCAAATTAGAAAATATAATTTGGATCAGATCAACATTTTATGTGCGGTTTTTTATCGTTAAATATTTTTAATTTCGTAATGAAAAAATTATAATAATTACATATTAATACAAATCTAACATACAAGACTCCACTTGATATATGTCATTAATTATCGTATACATAAGGTAAAAGTTTGGTCAAATTAGACAAATCGATAATTTAAGCAAAAATAAGGTGAACTAAACAAGCACTAATAAAGGCATTGAATGAGAGAAGATAGTTGAGGTAGGATTTTGGATTAAATGGGAGTATGATTTTAATTTGACCTGAAAATACGTATAAGCTAACAAAATACCTCCTTTAAGTTAATACAATCATTTATTCAAAATTAGTTTTTTTTTGAAGGGATTTATTCAAAATTAGTTAATACAACCATTTACAGCTTTTAGATTTCAGCTTTTCACCAAACACATTATCTTAAAATAACAAATTTTAAATAAAATTGTTTGATTATTGATCCATAGAAGTATTAATATGATCCCTTTTCTTTCTCTCTCTCTTTTTTTTTTTTACAAAAAAAACTACTCTTTTGAAAAAAAAAAAACTCAACATCTCTCATTGTCGTAAAGTCGTAAACCCATGACAAAAAAAAAAATATTTGGATGATGTATTGATGTGGAAGATTTTGAATTTGTATATACTTTCCGATATTATTAGTTGCAACTTTGGAATATTTTATATCTCACAAATAATACCCCGAAATTGCAACTAAAAAAATCGAAGGTAGTATATATTTTCTTTTCTGGGGAATTTGTATTTAACTCTAAATAAATGTAAAATACGTTTTTTTATATTTTTATTTTAGGAAATGTAAAATACGTTGTAAGACAACAATACGGTGTATTTCATAATACTGTGTTGTATTGTTGATGACGTAAACAACTAACAAGTGATAATGATAACTAAATTTTTTAAAGAATGGAGTCATCATTATTTTAGATGGAAAAGTTTTGATAATGACTACAGATATAAATTTCTAATTGTGGTAGGCCTCAACCTTAGCTATTATATTATGCAGTTGAATAGTTTTTTTTTTTAATTTTTTTTTAAAATAAAAAATAATTCAATTCTATATTATACAAAGTATTAGGTCTCAATAATTGTACGTACTCCAGTAGGCTACTATATTTAGTCTAATTTGTTCCAAAATTAGTAAGTTAAACTTTAAAATATCAAAATAAAATAAAATTATATGAATGTAGTGTGATCAAGGTTTATAGAGGTTAGGTTTAGATGTTGAATACTTAGCAAATAGAGGAAGTATTCATTTTAATTTTATTTAGATACTGTAATTAACTTGAATACATACAATAATATGCAGTTAGAAGTTTGATTTTTTTCAATATAAATTGAAGATTTATGAGGATTAATTATATTGATAAAATCACACATTCATTAGTAAAACAATAATTCCTCATTTTAAAAGTAATAATTATGATTTGGATTCTAAATATTTGTAATCGTATGCATGATTGTGAAATATTGTATTCTTTTTTTTTTTTTTTTTTTTTTTTTTTTTTTTTTTTTGAGAAATATAGTATTCTAAGTTTGTCATATGACACCAAATACAATTGTCCACATTAGATCATATTGATAATTTATAAAAACTCCTCCATCATACAGAGTTCTTATTAATTAAATTAAATTAAGAACAAGTTTTTCTCCTTTGGCTGGCGGATTATATCACTCATCTTTACAATAAGCACATATATAAAATAATCAAGGTTACGTGTTTGAAAAAGGAGTTAATCAATAATTGATCAATTAACAATTTGACATAGAGATCGACAAGCTAAGTCAAATGTCTAATTAAATTGTTAGGAAAATTTTTAAATTACCACCCTAAAATATATCCATTTTCTAAATAATCACCCGTTTAATTTTTTATTTTATTTTACCACCCCTTAAATTAAAAAACTACTCAAATTACCACCCATTTCAAAATTCAAGTAAATTTTTCTTATGTGGGCCCCACCCAACGACTCTTAGTGGTGAAAGGAAGAAGATGATCAGTAGTAGTGGCAATTCGGACAGCATGCTCTTGGTTTTTTTTAGTTGTTTTCTTTTAGTTTTAGGTTGTCTTGTACTCAATAAATTGGTTTAAGGAGGAGGTGAAGTGAAGACATGGTTGATTGTAAATGCTTAGGCATAGCCGTTACTAGCCATTGGGTGGGTCCTTATAACAAAATTCCATCGGAATTTTGAAATGGGTGGTAATCTGAGTAGTTTTTTAAATTAAGGGGTGGTAAAATAAAATAAAAAATTAAACGGGTGGTTATTTTGAAAATGAATACATTTTTGGGTGGTAATTTAAAAATTTATGGAAAAAAAAAAAGTTGGTGATGAAATATACTATGAAGTATTAAATAAAAATTACCTATCAAGGGAGTCCAAGGTAAGAACGGGTTCAGAAGGACCATTAGCCTCGGATATGGTCCTAAGAGACCCGCCGAAAAATGGAGCTAAAAGCACATAGCCACAAACCCGGACCGGTGAAAGTTCGGGAGATCCGGGTCCTAAACGGACTGCCAAATGATGGGCAATATTTCCACCCGAAGAGTCTCCCATAATGAACACCTTTTCAATGTCTACTCCATCTTCTAGCAATTTCATGCACGTATTTTGATCGTTTTGATTGTGATCTTTTCTAGGGTTACCCTTTTCTCTTTGTTTAGCCTGTAATTGTAGCCATTTTACTGCATTTAACCCATCTTCAATTGCTGCTGGCAGCTTGTGTTCTGGTGCCAACCTACTCATTTAAAAAAAAAAAAAAAAATATTACTTCATATATACCGTTACAAAAAGTATTAACACACAGTACTTTTCTAATATATAATAAGACACGAAATAATGGTTCAAGATCGAGTTATTCAAATAAAACCAAACTAATGTTGAATAGATTATAAATGGGACATGAATGAATCTAATTATCTAAAAAATTATAATAACACCTCTATTATTTTGTATTAAATTATGTTGCATTCTTTTTTTTTTTTTTCGATAAGATAATTATGTTGCATTCTTATACATAAGGGTTTGAGGAAATATATTATAAGAAAAGGGTTGAGAAGATATAAGAATTTGGGTGAATTGTTTGTCAAAAACTTTGTAGCAATCAAAATTTTCTCTTGAATTATTATCATACTTTTCCCAATCTTAAGGTTGACCAATAATAATTTTCCAAGTATACATTATCCCAAAAAATGGACAATATCTTAATATGAGCTAGTGATTAAAGAGGAGACTAAGACAACATTCAAATAATGGACCCCAAATTTTGCCTTTTTCGCTAGCTCCTTTTAAATGGAGCATATCCTTTTCGAACCAAACTAAAAAGTTTTAGACCACGCACGTTTAACCTTGGCATAGTGTTTTAAAATATCGGAAATGTTTGGTACGAGAAGTGGGATGACAAAATCAACTTCATGCATGGTGCTTAATTAGTTCTGTATCGATTTATTAGTAAAAATAATTAACCACTCATGTATGTGTGGACGAAGGAAAGATACTATTTTACCAAATTAAATTATTACAGGAAAAGTCAAATATTCTATCATATGTGTGTGGATCGTGCAAAATTTAAATGAGTCGGTTATTAGAATAGATATAAAATATACTCCGTACATGATAAAGGTTTTAGGATTAAAAAATAAAATAATAAATAAAAGCCAAGAAGGCTAAAGAACTCAAAATTAATTAGACAAGTATTTGGCTCAAAGAGTGTACTTGGCACTTGTTCTTAAGGATGATTATGTAGGCTAAGAAGCAAGAATGTTTGTTGAAGTTACGTTAGGGTAACATATTGCTATATTAGTATAATACTACGGAGTAATATCTTATGTTTTTGAAACACGCAATTGATTTAACTGATCCAAAAATCCATTCAATCAAAATGAGTGTGAAGTCCATTGTTTAGGTTCTAAATATATACTCCATAATGAATTTAATATGTATCAAAATATTGCTATCCTCTATTTTTTTTTTTTTTAAATAGTTTTTATGGAAAATATATTTTCAAGAAAAACTACAGTAGCAAGATAATTTTTCTTTGTTTGGTTCTTACAATTAAGAAAAGGTAAAGAGAAATTAAAAATAGGAGTGGAAATGTAGGGATGGATGAGAGGAAAGTATAAAAGAGATAAGGAGAAGAGAGGAAAATATGACTTCCCTTCTTTTGTGAAGGAAAATGTTTTCCACCATTAATCTGAATGTAATTTTCCACCCCTTGACAATCAAATTAAAAAAATAAAGGAAGATGTGAAATAGTTCAAAAATCATTTTCTATGAAAACTTTTTACATAAAACCAAACAGGGGTTTAATGCTAGATATACAAGTTATTTCTACAAAAATGGTGAGAAATTGTAGAAATACCCTAATCATAAAAAAAATATTTTATCCATACACAATACGTGTAAGAGCTAGTACTAACTTAACATATGAGTCCCTAAAAAAAAAAAAAACTAAAACTTAATATATGAGTATAGATTCACGTACTGAATGAAACCGTTCTAAAAGTGATGAGACTTATGATCAAGAAAAATAAAGTTGTAATTATATGTAAAAATCAACCTTGCAAAAAGCTTATTTTTGTTTTCTATTTTCTTTGGTATGAAGAACACCTCTGACTTCAAGGTCATAGGGTAAAACCCGCCACTAATTATGTACACCAAGCGTGACTTGATAAAGCTAGGCGATTTCAGAATCATATAACCACTAATTATATATTATACACCTGTTGTATAAAAGACGTATGAATAAGCTAATACGAATGAAAAGAAAGTGGTTATGTAGCTAACCTGTAGTCAGGTGCAATAACAAGAGCTTGAAGTTGAGAGGAAAGTCGAAGGCAGCAGTTATGACAGTTAGGCCACGTGCGAGAGCCTAGGCAGAAACCTCCTCCATGTATGTAATACAAAATTGGCAACTTTTTGCTCATGCTATTCTTATAACTAGGCTTATAAACACGCAAATTAAGTTGATTTTTCTCATCAAACAAACAATCTTCCCATTCAACTATACAATCTTCTCCAACTATTTCTTGGCTACTCTTATTATTGTTAAATTCTCCAAAATCTATATCGGAGACATTTGCCCTATATATCGACCCATCACTATATAATTGGAGGACTCCAAAGCAGTCTTCCACGACTTCTGCTAAGGATCCCATGATGCACTCGTGTGTATGATCTTATTATTTTCTCTCCGTCGCTCACTCAATACTTTTTAGTGAGAGAGTTATGAGATAATATGATATGACTTTTGTGGAAGGCCAAGCTATTTATAGACATAATATTGTGATGAGGGCATAGAAGTAAAAGTCTGTGATGGATATTAGTCCTCTTATATATTGATCCAATCCAATATTATAGAATATGAGCAGATTAGATGAATATTATTGGTAAGCTTATTTTGTTTTGTAAATAATTATGGTCCCATCGACTATAGTTGAATGCATGTATTAGAGTTGATAAGTACTATACATACATGAGCTATATATGTAATAGATATCACTCCTTTGTGGAGTGGCCCTTGCACTCAGCTCGCCATGTTTAGGATGATGTATGTACTATGACTAGCACTAGCTAGCTCTCTTTTTTGAATAAAATAAAAAATGATGTTACGAATTTGTCGGAATACATTTGAATATTCCGAAGTATAATATTCATGTGTATGACCTGTCGGCGGAATTCGATAGTTATTTTATTGTGATGGGTTAGCTAGTAAATAGTTTCAATATGATACAATAACACTTAGGTACGTACTTTAAGAATTACTATAGTGTACAAATACAGTTAGCTTACCTCCTGAAATTGTTTACAATAATGTGTCAACCTCCACAATGAACACGTATTACACTGGTGTTAAACTCTTATACACCATACCATAACACTCCACGTAATTTCAATTGTTGAATAGAATCCTGAATGTCATATCATTAATTAAATTAAATCACATTTATATCACTGATAAGTAACTGTTTTTGTAGCTATAGTACCGACCTCCAAGTGGCGAAAACACGTGATGATCGTACAAATTATACAGTGAAGTGGGTAATGATAGTGAAAGCGCAATGCGGCGAACTATGCTTCTTAGGAAGCTTTGCCTCTAGCCATTATATTTCGGAGGATTCATCTCATTCATACATTCTACATATATGTCCTCATCAAACCCATTTTCTACTTTTTTGACTCTCCCTAATAGTGGGCAGCCATTAAGCCAAGGCCAAAAAGAATTGATAACGACTTATGGAAGATTATTGGAAGAAAATTATAATATGATATTTGTGACCCTCGAATCAATTCATTGGTTCAACAACAACAACAAAAATAATAATACTACTGATAATAATAACAATAGTAAAAATAATAGGCATAAACCTTGCAATATTATTCATTCTTAAAAATATTTGAAAGGGACATATGCTCCCTCCCACGGTTTTTAGCCTTTCCTTGTAACCAAACGTTACCCCCTTTGCTATATTTAGTGTAATAAGTTGACCGACACACTTGTTAATACGCATGTAGCTTAATCATTACTTAATATAAATTAGATAATGTTGATATTATATACATGAAAGTGAACGTTGTAAGTAATTCTACAGTATAGAAGTACATGATAATATTATTTTATACATTCTATTTCATTAATTAAGTCAATTCATCAAAGTCACTTAATGAACAGTGCACCGAGTACAAATGTTGCATTTGAAAAAACCACCTGCCACCTAAAACAACGAGATAACTTCAAAATCAACAGTACATTTCTAAAAACGTTTTAATAATTTGACATGTTTTAAATTTGATTTGGTATGTATCATTGTATGTATACAGAAACTGTTGCATCAAGTAGTATATCTGAAACCGTAAGCTAATTAGAGTGCTTTGATTTTACTTGTCCACTCAAATATAGGATAATTGGATATGTATGATGAAGATACAGTAATGAGAACATAATTCTTGATGCTCCTAATTAATAAGCATGATGAGTACATTACGATTTACGAATGTGGATATTACTATATTGGATAAGAATAGATGACGATTTACTCACTTCTGATCTCAGGCTCCTTTCATCAACGACGTGCTCCAATTTTCGACATAGATTTGGATTTATCATAGTATCATCACTCATGTAGATGAAATTTTATCAACATGGCATCACTCCTTCGAGTTATTTCATTTTGACTTGTTAACCTTCTACTGTATGTATTTTCAAAATTGGATATCGATGACAATTTTTTCAAAAAACAAAAAAATAAATTCTAAATCTTGTGGATAAATGTTTGCTAATTAGAACTAAGAAAAGTAAGAATGCCAAGTAAAAAGTAAGAACATTGTCCCCTCAAGCCTCATTTTCAAAAATTACCACATGTTAGTTTAAACTAATGATTGAAACTAATAATTGGTTTATACACTCTATCAGGCTACTTGGTGTTCGATTGTTTGACGTAGGAAGAATTTGCACTTAGCTTCTTGTGGAAGTAGGTTTCGTTTCTTTTACCAAAAACACACTAAGTAATTGAACACTTCGCACTTTCCATGCCGAATATTTCACATTTCAAAAAAAGAAAAAAAAGGTTGATTTGGTTAACCTAAAATCTACTATAAGAAGAATAGTATGATGTAAACACATACAAATATGGTAAGAGTTAAAAGATTCAAGATCAAGACAAGATTTATCAATTTTGTTTTAGTCTTTCAAAAACAAAAAATTGTATCAGTACGAGTACTAATAACTGAGAATTGATAGAAATTGAAAGTACAACTAGCTAATGTGTTTGGTCTATATATTTGCCTTAATTTTAGTAACAAAAACGTTGTACATACCCTCAGAAGTGAGTAAGGGTCTGTTCTCTTCATTTTAAGTTCTTTAGTTCAACTCAATTCACATCAATTCAGCTCAGCTCAGTTCAGTTCAGTTCAGTTCAGTTCATTTCCTAATTTCCTTCTCTCATAAACAGTTCAGTTCAGCTTAGTTCAGTAAATGAGAACAGACCCTAACACCAAGAGAAAGACTAAATAGAAAAGAAAGATGAAGCAGCTATGCAAGTAGCGAATATTATTATTCATTGCTTTCATTCTGTCCACAATTGTTTAGCACAACATGATATGATGTCCAGTATAACCTGAAACAATCGAAAATCCCTACCCTCCTAGCAATTTCATCAGAAAATTATATGAAGAGTAGACCAATTACAATACTGATGACCAAAAGCATTTCTTTTAAAAGTGCGCTGCCCCAAATGGGAAATTCCCTATTTCTCATATTGAGAAACGAAATTTGTTTCTCATGGGATTATTTTCGTGAATAAATCAACAACTTTTTCATTACTGTGGGTTCCACAATTGAATAAAGTTGAATAAAATAGTTGGTTTATTTAGGAAAATGACATGCTTTGTTTCTCATTATGAGAAACTGGGGCATTCCCACCCCAAATCAGGCTGATAGTTTTTCTAAATTTTTACTTTAGATAAACCTCAGAAACAAGATTATGGCCTTGAAGTTGTCACACTTGAGACTATAATGAAGAGGATTAATGGTTAAAGATAACAAGGTGGTGATTAAAGATAGCAAGCCAGAAGGCCAGGCCAAATGCATAGTCCTGACCAAACAGCGCAAGGTCATCCAAGAATTTTTTTTTTTCCCAAATTAATACAACTGCTATTCTGACAACGAGCATGACTCAAAGAGATCTAAACAAACACAATTATGTAGAGCTAATATCAGCAGATTTAATAAGGAGATGAACCCCTAGACTACTTTCCAAAGCTTCGTCATTTTCTACAAAAAAAACTAATAAATAAGAGCCACTATAGAGTGAGAAGATTGTCTGAACCAACGCGTGTTAATTAGTAGCAAGAGTTGAGGGAGAAGATTTTCTGCAGCTAGTCAGTTATTAGCTAATGGGACAAAATCTCTAAAACCAGGATTACATGTTATTATATGTACAAAGCTTAATAAAATCATGCATACATAAATGAGCTAAGTTTGTGAATGTATATGGGCTAGAGAATCTTATAGAGTTATATCAACTACTGATACAGTAAGATTTCTGAGTACTGATCAATAAAGAGTAGTAAGTTCGTATTGCACAAAGCCTTGAAAAAACCTCTAAGTTCGCAAACCACTACCTAGAAGCTAGCTTAAGCCCGCGATATGTTATTTCACAACCTGTAAATATTACTATATGGCGGGTTGAAATCTAGAACACAATTTGTGATTTCATACAATCTTCCACTGAATTATTGCTGAACAAAGCTATGTAGATGGACTGTTAATCCAAACTTAGGCATTTAAAGCAAATGTAATATGAATGTATGTAAGATGACATTGGATTAATTACAATAAATATTTTCATAATATCATGTTAGTGGACCATCTCAACAAAAGCTTAAACTGATGGTTAACCTGTTTGGACTAGAAGTGTGGATGCAGCATGAGGCCCCTCCTCATACCCAGCGCTCATGCTGGCTCCAATACCATGTTAGTGGACCAACTCAACCAAAAGGTTAAGCTGATAATTGAGGCCCAAGAATATGTTTTATACTCTATCATGATACCATGTTAGTGGACCATCTTAACCAAAACCTTAAGCTGATGATTGAGGTCCAGTAATATGTTTTATACTCTATCATATCAACATTTTATAATAAATACTGATATATAATTCATGTATCAATAGTCAAAATTGTATATTAATTAACGTGTCTAGTCAAAGTGTAACAATATTTCAAAAAAATAGTTGTGGGATGGTCCATAGACTATCACATAAAGAATCACGGCCAATATCCTCATCTAATCATGGGATCATGCCTGAAATAAAGCTATCTTCTTTAGATGTAAATTAAATAAACAAATGTTATAAGTAGAATAGTGACATTACATGAAAAGTTACATACTTATCATTATCATTATTGAGATTATATAAAGTGACAATAGACATGATTTTAATAGCTTTTAGTAATTACAAATAAACATACCATCATCATCGTGTCATCATTTACTCATTATATTACCATAAAAGTTGAACTAAGTACTACAGTTGTAACATTCATGGAGCCACCAAACAACCTGGCAATCAAAATCCCCTGCTAGTCTGCTACTTCAAAAAAGTTGTACAATATAAAATAAAGAGAAATGGTGGGGATCATGGTTGGGCTTAGTTCTTTATTTCTTGGGCCTAAATTATCTAAAGATAAAGTTGAAAATGCACAAATAATGGCCTACATTGTAACTTTGTTAGTCCAATACTTGTATATATAAGGCTTGACAATTAGTTGTTAGTTGTTTTAACTAGCATATAGCTATTGTA